ACTACCACTACGACCACGACCACGACCACAACTACTACTACTACTACTACTACCACCAGTACCGGTACCACTACGTACCATGACCACGACCACGACCACGACCACGACCACGACCACCACCGCCACCGCCGGCACGACCGCCGCCACCACCACCACCACCACCACCACCACCACCACCACCACCACCACCACCTCCACCTCCACCACCATCACTGCGACTGCCACTGCCGCTGCCACTGCCACCGACCGCGACCGCGATCGCAACCATGATTGTGAGCGGGACCATGAGGACGACGACCACCACCACTTTATTCTTTCCACTGCTACCTCTGTTTTGAGAATCATTCTTATCATTTTTCTGTTATTGTTCGTAGTGTTAGCGCTAGTAAAAATGTTGTTGTCATTGTTATGATGGTGGTGATTGCTTTTGTGTTTGTTCTCATTACGGTTCGTCTTATTGCTCGGGTTTTCTAGCATTGCTATGAATAGTAGTGTGTCGGTCCTGCTCCCCAAAGACCCCTGCCGAGGTGCATGGTCTCCAAAGGAGAATACCTGACGAGCGACCCGGCCCCGATTCGAAGCCATACGGTAAGGCTCACACAAAAGGGTAACCTATGGCAAACCTCAGTTGTTGAGAACCCAAGAAGCAAAGTTTGAGCCGTAAGCCCGTGCCGGCTTTCAGTCCGGCTATGTGATGAACCTCGCCTGTGGCAGGCCCTGGCCCTTCCCCCACGATTGCTACCGTTTTGGATTGTATAGCTGTCCGGTAGTCAGCTGCCAATTCAAATTGGGGTGCAGAGAGCAAGAGCAAAACACCAACGCCTAAACCTTAATAATTAGAATAGGGTTTTGGGGCCCATTATACTATAACTATAGTAAGGAACCCCCCACAATAGTATAGGTAATTATTGAGGCCCCTATATCCCATAACCACCGGACCTATGAGCCCCAAAAGCCTTAAGCCGCCTACCAAAGGCATGCTGCTTGAGCCAGAGATTGTCCAGCTGGTGTGGATGCCGTGGGCCAAGTGGTCCAGGGCTCCTGTGGCATAGTGACATAGAGGTGTCGGAATTCGTAAGGTTTGATCGCACTGTGCAGGGGGCATAGAATGCCATGCTTTTGACGACTTCTCAACAAGCTTTTGAGACGGCTTGATTTTGTGTTGCAGACGGTTCTAGAGGGATTTGTGGTGTCTTGGTGTCTCACGTAGACCAAAACATCCTGGGGCGCCTAGACTCCAAATTCCCCTGAACCCCAGAATCAAAAGCCTTAGGGGCTTCTGAAATGTTTTGAAGAAGGCAGGTTTTGAGTTCTGAGCATCCCGAGAGATGGCTCCTACCCGAGGTATTATGACAGCTTCGAGTACCTGCGGCGGCCTCGGCAAGGTGAAAAGCACGAACTGTCGCCTCTGTGGATTGCAGGCTTTTGCCTTTTACAGCAAAGGCAAACACCACGGAATCATGGAGATTAGTTGCAACCCTGTCCCTCCCAAGTTATCTAGGCCCCTTCTGTCACCTCTGTGTCACCTGCAATGCCGTATGCAGCTCTAGTCAGCCATCCCTCCCCCACTCTCAGGTTCCAGGTGTACCTGGACACACAGACCTCCTTTCTGCAAACACCGGCGGCCTGCCATGGGCACATGTCCAACGAGGTCCTAGGGTTTAGGGTTTAGGGGTTGATTGCATAGAGCTCCGGGTTCAAAAAAAGGGTCCGATGTGCCGCGGGGAATCCGGCCGGGCAAGCACTAATCAAGCCTGTGTAAAAAAGGGTTTAGGGTCCGCTAGTTTGATCAGGTTGTGGTTGTAGTATGAAAAGTAGTTTTGGAGATTACCGTGGGCTTTCCTTGCCCTGGTACGTAGCTTGAGTACGAAAGACTGGCTTTCTTGTGGGAAATTAACGATTCAATCCGCAATGTAGTGCCTTGGCCATCCGAGACCGTTTCTGTAACGGGGAGTATAGTAGGATCTTAACACTTTGGTGATACCCTAAACCCTAAACCCTAAACCCTAAAAAAAACCCTAAACCCTAAGATTATTGCAGCAACTCTGAAGCTCGCGGAAGCTGTGTATCGCAGATAAACCCTAAACCCTAAAACTCATCGAGTCTTTTTGTGCGAGGTTTCCACACTTTCGGTGCAAAGGTAAGGCTGGGGTCATGTTGTTCCAAATTTATATACGTGGTGTTAAAGCTGTTTTGTCGATGTCCGACCCGGTGCTTTGAGAATCCGAAAATACAGTCAATCTCCTGCAGGCATTCCTTCAGTTCTGCATCGACTTCCGGTTATTCCCGCAAATCATCGATTTCAATTCGCTGCCACTGCAAAGCAAGATTCAGGTTTCTAGCTGTCGGTCTTGAATTTGGATGTTCAAATGACAAGGCTTGGAGTGCAAGGCTTGAAAGTCCATTGCGTGTTGGCTGAGGAATGTCGTAAGGAGCAGTCAATATACAGCAGTCAGTTTTGTAGCTTATTTTTTGGGCGGGGCAGGGGTTTAATGTAAGGACATCAAGGATCCTGGCTCATAGCTGGGGTTTCAGGCGGAAAATACAGAACCCGTAGTGTAGACTATGTACTACTGTAGGACCCTCATTACAGGGACGCACTGCATAAGTTACCCCTGGTTTTAAGAAATCATGTATATGTATTTTTGGCTTTCCATTGAAACCACGGAGCCCGTTTCTCTCTCCCCGTTATTGCGCGCCCTCGGATACTTCGCAATGTGCATGAACTAACGCCGAAGTTGTTGCTTTCAGTGCCTCTGGCTTTGGAGTCGTCGTGTCCTGGGTGCCAGCCATGTACCGTAACTTGGGTTTTCTCTTCAGTAGGGTTATCTTTGTAATCGAACCACCAGAATCTACAATGAGGACCGCCGGCAAAAAGAAGCACCCCAATCTGGTTTCTGGCCAGGCTCTTTGCAGGACTTTACTTCCAAGGCCTTCAGTTGTGCTTGCCACAACAAAGCACCGGACTTGAGACCTGCAGTAAAGTCACTTTCCCAAGGAATTGCTATTACCAGTCGGCGGAAAGCATCATCGAAATCACTCGCGAAGAGGTGAAGAGATGCACCTGGTTCTGTTTCAGTCGGACGGCTTGAAACTCGATAATGGCTGCCCTAGACCTTACTCAATACCTAAACAGCCAGCCGGCAGCCTACTTTCGCGAGTAATTTGAAAGCTTCGACGGTGCTTGGTTTGTGGAAGCTTGTGTTGGGATTGTTGTTTCGGTAGTGCGATGAGGGGCGTCCATGTCGTCCACATGGTGGCACCATGTGTTCCATGGCCTTTTGCTAGGGTAGATCCAAATCAAGAAGCCGTGTGAACACCAGCCCTTCACTCTACTCGAAGCCACGGACATGCGGCCAAATACTAAGGTACGAAGAAGGACCTGGCGGTCCTAGTGGGATCACACCTCGGTGTTACGGGGCTTGGTGTTGGCATGTTCTTGGGTGTTGAGCAGTGCGCTGAGTCTCAGGGCCAGGGTGAGTTTTCCGTGTATGTTGGATGCTTGGGGGAACACGTTGACGGCTGATCCCTAAAACCCTTGGCCTTACACCCATCG